TACCCCCAGCGGCAGCACCAGCGCCAGCAGCACCTCCAGCTCCAGTACCTCCAGCAGCACCAGTAGCACCCCCAGCAGGACCGCCTCCAGGACCGACAGCAGTAGCCTCAGCGCCAACACCCTCAGCAGCTCCAGCTCCAGGCGTACCCGCAGGCCCAGCAGCTCCAGTACTCCCAGTACGAGCACCTCCGGGACCCGCGGCACCAGCACCCGCAGCAGTCGAAGAACCTCCAGCTCCAGCAGCACGCCTCCAGCGTCGGGCAAACCACTCTCGCAGCTCCTGTGGAGAGAGTGGCTCCCGCCGAGACGAAGCACCCGGAGAACCTCCAGGCTCAGCACCGCCAGACGCCACACGAGCAGGCCCAGCTCCCTCAGGCTCCGCACCCCCAGGCTCAGTACCTCCAGGCGTAGCACCCCCAGGCTCAGCACCCCCAGGCGTAGCACCCCCAGGCTCAGCACCCCCAGGCTCAGCACCCCCAGTAGTAGCACCCCCAGGCTCAGCACCCCCAGGCTCAGCACCCCCAGTAGTAGCACCCCCAGGCTCAGCACCCCCAGGCTGAGCACCCCCAGTAGTAGCACCCTCAGGCTCAGCACCCCCAGGCGTAGCACCCACACGCTCAGCACCCCCAGAGTCAGCACCCCCAGGCTCAGCACCCTCAGCAGCACCAGAGTCACCAGTAACCTCGACAGGCTCGACTGCGTCTACCTGGGACACACCTGAAGGGGCAGGACCCTGAGGGGGGAGGGGGTCTACCGGGGGGGGACCTGGCACAAGGAAGAGCGGTGGCGGGGGGAGGGACGGAGTGCGGTAGGGGAAGAGGCGGTAGTAGGGGACCGACTCGTCAAACGTGACGTCCTGGGAGGACAGAACACGACGAGAGGTGGGGTGGTAGAACTGCCACCCTGGCGCGTCAGGGGGGAAGCCAAGGAAGACGCAAGGAGCAGCACGAGGGGACAGCTTGTCCGCAGACAAGTCGCGGACAAACGCCCGAGATCCCCAGACACGGAACGCAGACGCATCGCCAACCTTCCCCGTCCACAGCAAAGCTGGGGAGGTCTCCGGCATGGAGACCCTGGGCTGAAGGTTGATCTGATGCGCCACGTACCGAACCGCAAACGGCCACAGAAAATGGGGGGCAGCCGCATGCATCATGGACGTACGGGCGACGTCCATGACCATGCCAATGCGGCGCTCAGCAATCCCATTTTGCTGTGGAGAGTCCGGAAGCGTGAAGGTCTGGCGGATGCCTCGTGCACGACAGTAGGCTCGCAGAAGGCCAGAGGAGAACTCTCCACCTCTGTCAGAGTGCAGACGCAGAACAGGAAAGTCCGAGCCGAAGCTCTGCCTGAGCTGGAGACGAGCTGCGCGGATCCAGTCGATCAACACCTCAGTGACATCACCCTTGCTGCGCAAGGGGAAGACCGTGGTGTAACGCGAGTAGTCGTCAACCACCAGCAGGAAGTAGCGCTCGTGACCCTGTCCACGGACGCGGGCCGGGCCCCACACGTCCATGTGAAGCGTCTGCAGCGGGGCCTCTGTCGGAGGAAACTGGGAGGAGTGAGGGGCAGCCCGCTGCCGCCCCTCGACACAAGGGACGCAGGTAGGGCCGGGCCCCGGAGGAAGGGGAGGGAGGGACCGGGGAAGACCAGAGACAAGGACACGGGAGGCCATGCCTCGGAGACGAAGCAGGGAGGGGTGACCAAGGCGGTGGTGCCAGAGGAGAGTCTCGTGCGACAGGAGGCGACACGAACAGGGGGCAGACTCAGGACCAGACCTGGACGCTGCAGCAAACACCTGACCCGACGCAGCTACCTGACCAGACGCAGTGACTGGAGGAGACGCAGTGGTCAGTGTGTACAGGCTCGACCCCGGCCGACGTGTAAACGTGGCCAGGTGTCGGCCTGTCCGAGCGTCCGTGCAGTGGGTCACCCGCTGACTCGCAGGAGTGAACTGGTGAACCCCCGCATCCTGTAGGTCAGCACCACTCACCAAGTTCGTAGAGAACGAGGGGAGGTAAAGACCAGACAGGGTGCCAGAGGGGGCCGCCGGACACGGGAGGACAGTGGAGAAGTGAGCAAGGACAGGACCCCCAGAGGGGTCTGCCAGAGAGACTGCAACTGGCCGGCCAAGCGGCGTAAGTGTGGTGTGGTCTCGAAAGAAGGAGCGAGAAGCCCCCGAGTCAAGGGTGAAGGTGTGGGAGGCCGAAGCCGACGCAGTACCTGAGAGAGCAGACTCACCAGCACCTGAGTGAGCAGACGCACGAGCACCTAGAGCAGCAGCCTCGCTAGCACCTAGAGCAGCAGCCTCACCAGTACCTAGAGCAGCAGTCTCAATGCCCGGGTCGGGCGGAAAACACCGGTAACAGTCACCCTCATCACTAATAGTCACAGCATACATGGCAGCAAGAATAGCATCAAAGTCAAGGTCAAAGACAGCTACACCCGCCCTAGACAGCTCGCCCCAGCGGGGGATCTCAGTGGCCTCAGGGAACTGGTGACACCAAGCGTCCGTCAGGCGGCCAAAGCAGCGCTGGGTGGAGTGCGCACCCCCGCACTGCTCACCCGCGCGGTCGCCGGTGCGTAGGACGTAGGTGCACGGACCAGTACCCCCACCCCGCTGGCGTGCAGCGTACCACTCACGGAGCTGCTGAGGGGGGGGGATGTCACGAGTGCGCTGCTGCCGCTGCTGCTGCTGCTGCTGACGCTGACCACCACCGGAGCCGACCCTCTGCCCAGCGCCACCCCGACCAGCTCCACCTCCTCCGCCGCCGCCTCCTCCACCGCCGCCACCTCCGCCACCTCCGCTCCCACCGCCACCACCGCCGCCGCCTCCGCCTCCACTGCCGCCACCGACACCTCCACCCCCGCCACCACTCCCACCACCACCCCCACCCCCTCCACTGCCGCCACCGCCACCTCCGCCACCCCCGCCAGCCCCTCCAGCACCCTTGCCCCCCTTGCCCTTGCCGGTGCGGCGTCTCCCGCTCGGGGCAGACGCAGCGCCGACCGACTCGAGACCAACGAGGTCGGCCGCAGCAGCAGAGGCAACAGAGGGCAAAAGGGGGGAGGGGGAACACCCCTCAAAGACGGGGGTGCGAGGGTCACCACGAGAGGCTCCTACAGCGACTATGCTCTTCTCTGCTGCTAGGAGGGCCTTCTCGAGGAGGTCAACGGTGAGAGTGGTGGGGCAAACTGAGAGGAAGTGGTCCCTGACTACACGAAGGGAGTCAGGGAGCCGGGTGACTATGTAGTAGAGGGTGATGTACATGGGGGGGGGGTTCTTGGCGCAGAACTCAGCAGGAAGCGCAGCGCGGTAGCGAGTGTCACTAGTGCGGAGGTGCGTAATGAGGTCAGCGACTGTGGGAAAGGCAGCAAGGTCAGGGAAGAGGTACGGTAGCATGAGGCGGCTCAGTGCAGCAGTGGCAGGGGAGGAGTAGCGCGCAACTACAGCGTCGTACAAGGTGTGAGCACTCTTGTACTGGCTAAAGTGCGCACGCTCAGAGGTAGGCAGGTGGCGACGCACAGCTAGACGTGCAGCAGCATCGCGTGTGGCCCACTGTGAGCGAACAGTGGCGTCGGCATCAGCAGCAGGGGCAGGAGAGGCACCAGAGGTGAGGTCAAAGAGGGAGAGACCGTCTGCCCTATCGCACTGTAAGAAAAGCTGCAGGTCATCTACCCAGACGTCAAAGTCAATGGCCCGACCCTCAGCGTCAAAGGCGAGGACACTAGGGGTAGCCATGACAGCAGTAGACTAGCAGTGTGGACAGTAGGGTAAGGGCAGTGCAGTGATAGAGGCGCTGCTCTTACCGGACAGGGCGGCTCGGCGGCTCGGCGGCTCGGCAGGACGGCGGCTCGGGCGGCTCGGCGGCTCGGGCGGCTCGGGCGGCTCGGGCGGCTCGGCAACTCGGCGGCCCGGGCGGTTCGGCGGTCGGCTGCTGGGCGGCTCGGTGGCTCGGCGGCTCGGCTGCTTGGCTGCAGGACGGCTCGGCGGCTCGGGTGCTCGGCTGCTGGGCGGCTCGGCGGCTGGTGTGGTTGGTGACGACCGCGGCAGCAGTCGCAGAAGCTGTGGCGACTGCTGCTGCAGAGACGGCTGCGGCTGCTGCCTCAGGGACGGCGGCTGCCGGCCGCTAGGGGCCGCGAAGAGCGGCGGAGAGGCCATGAAGGGCGCCACGAGGGGCCGTCGAGGGCGGCGACAGGCCGTGAGAAGGCCGCGGAAGGCGGCTCGAGGGGCCGCGAGGGGGGGCCGTAAGGGGCCGACTGGCGACGGGAGGGGCCGAAGGGGCCGCGGGAGGGCCCGTAAGGGTAGCGCGAGGGGCCGTAAGGGCGGCACGAGGGGCCGTAAGGGCGGCACGAGGGGCCGTGAGGGTGGCGCGACGGGCGCGACGGGCCGTAAGGGCGGCGCGACGGGCCGTAAGGGCGGCACGAGGGGCCGTGAGGGCGGCGCGACGGGCGCGACGGGCCGTAAGGGCGGCGCGACGGGCCGTAAGGGCGGCGCGACGAGCCGTGAGGGGCCTAGCGAGGGCGCGACGGTAGGGAGAGCACACAGGGCGCGACTCGGGCCGGAGCGAAGCGCGCTCCGGGCAGAAAAAAAAAAATTTCGTGGTGGTGGGCCCTAGGAATCGTTCCCACTAGGGAACCTGCTCGATACCATGAGAAGAAACGAGGAATGGAATGACTAAGGGAAAGTTGGGTACAAATGTAAACCCTAGAAAACTGTACCCCATATGTGCTACCCCACTATAGCCTACAGTAGCTATGTCATATAAATCTGACATTGGGCTCATTCACTCTTTGTAACCATGAGCATTCTCATCCCAGCATGCGCTTATTTATTGAAGGCATAGAGGCCGCCGTCAGGCAGCGCAGTGTCAGTGCTACTGCAGCGCATGAGAAATATTTAGGAGTGCAAGAGTGTTATGCAAGATTGTAAATTCTGACATTGGTGTAGAATGAGACACCTGCGCTTATTGACCACAGTGTGGGCCTTCAGCAAAGCCCATTTAGGCTGTCTTTCTGATTGCACCTTTCTTCTTTTTAGCAGCAGTCTTGCTAATTCCAGCAGTGTTGCTGACTCCAGCAGTATTGCTAATCCCAGCAGCCTTTTCCGCCCTGTCAGCTTGCATCAGCGCTGCCTTGAGCTTATCCGTGAGCTGAATCAACTTCTTGTCTGCGACAGCCTGGCTCTGCTTAGCCTTCGCCAAGTGCGTCTTCGCGTCAGTAACCGCCTTCGCCTTCGTCGCCTTGTACAGGATAACCGCTTTCTGCGCGTCAGTGATAGCCGCAAGCATGCCGTCGTACACCTGGCGAGCAACGAAAACCGCGACTTTTGCATCCTCCACTGCCTTCGGGAAAACGTTCACGTCGACCGTAGGCGGGTTCAGCGGAAGGTCGGTCAATTCCTGCTGCACACGCGTGAGGCGCGCCTGCGCGCGCAGATCTTGCGCCACGATATCCCCATACACGTCCTCCACATATTTCCGCGTCTCCCGCGCTTCCGTAAACGCCACTTGCGCCGCCGTCGAAGACGGGTGATTCATGAACGTTTTTTCTGCCTCGGCCTCGGCCTGCACAGCGTCTTGCACGGTGCTCTGCCATTTCTGTATGAGCGTGGACGTTATGTTTACGCGCCGAGTCGCTTCCGTGACCGCCTTCTGCGCCGCCGGGATTTGCGGGAACTTCGTAGGATCGTCGTTATACGCGTTGAGATCCGCGGTTCGTTGAGCGAGGATCTTGTTCGCGATGCTGAGGTCGTTTTGTGCATTGGCGAGACTTATATTCATATCGGAGATGCTTGAAACGCGGTCGTTGAGTGCCGTGTCCAGGGCCAGCAAATCAGAGAGTGCTTGCGTGGCGGCGGCTACTTCATCCGCGCGTCTGGCGGCGTCCGCTTGCGCCGCTGTTAGGTTCGCCGCCGTTTGATTTGCAACGGCGAGCAACGTCTTCGCTTTCTCCACGAGAAACGAGGATTGAGCGGTGACGTATTTCTCGGGAGGAGCGAGAAGCGCGACAAAGCACGCCAACATGCGGCAGAGAGAGCAGCACACATAATCGGCGTCATGTCTCTGGCGGCAATAAGGAACCGCACTAGCTCAGCTGTGGCTCGAGGCTAGAGGATATGGTAGGATTGGGGAGCTGGGTTGAGTTCGGCGAGTGATAGTGGCGCGCTAAAGAGAAAGGGGAGCAGTGTCAGAATATAATTGTATACATTATACTATAACTGCCTGTAGTGTAGACTTAGTGTAGTGCTAAACTTGTTTGGTGGTGCACCTTGGTTGCTTTGCCTATATCCTTGTACCTTCTCTCTTAGTGAATCACCTCTTCCTTCTCGATTTTCCTCACCCAAACTCTCTCGACTCTCAACTCTAGCATGGCTCCTATGCCTCGTAAGGCTACACCTAGTTTCCTAGGTGCTTAGGATTCTAACATGGTATCAGAGCAACACTTTCCTACGGACCTTAACATAATGGGCCCACCACCTACTGCCCTGCTAGCCTAGGCCCTGGCCCGTCGCCCCATGGCGTCGCCCCTAGCCCCTAGGCTCGGCCCCTTGGCCCCGTCGCCCCTAGCTGGAGCCCCTCGGCCCCTTGGCCCCGTCGCCCCTAGCCGCGGCCCCTCGCGACCTGTCGTCCCTAGCCGCGGCCCCGGTGCCCCGTCACATCATGGAGGGTAAGGCGGTGGCAAGAGGGGTGACGGTTTCTTCCTGCCCGCGTACCCTACAGTCGCACGTGCAGCTCCGCCCCCGCCCCCCTCCCCCCCCTCCCCCCCCTCCATGGGGACGGGGGGGAGAGGGTGTGAGGGGGTGGCGGATGTGCCTCAGCAGCAGCAGCTGCCGCCACGCCTCCTCCTCTCTCTCTCCCTGCCGCACCTTGTGTTGGGAGGGGGGGGGGGGGGCTTGGAGGTTCAGGGGGAGGCAGGAGGGGATCTGCAGCACCAGCCCCGCCCGCCCCCCCTTTCTCCTCCACCCCTGGGGGGTGAAGGATTGTGGAGCAGCAGTGGGGGGGAGGGGATCTGCAGCACCAGCCCCCCCCGCCCCCCCCTTCTCCTACCTCCCCCTGCTGCGGGTGCAGCAGTGGGGGGGAGGGGATCTGCAGCACCAACCCCCCCCCCCCCGTCCCCCCCCTTCTCCTTCATCCATGGGGGGTGACGGATAGTGGAGCAGCAGTGGGGGGGAGGGGATTTGCAGCATCAGCCCCCCCCCCCCCCCCCGCCCCCCCCTTCTCCTCTCTCTCTCCCTGCCGCACCTTGTGTTGGGAAGGGGGGGGAGCTTGGAGGTTCAGGGGGAGGCAGGAGGGGATCTGCAGCACCAGCCCCCCCCGCCCCCCCTTTCTCCTCCACCCCTGGGGGGTGAAGGATTGTGGAGCAGCAGTGGGGGGGAGGGGATCTGCAGCACCAGCCCCCCCCGCCCCCCCCTTCTCCTACCTCCCCCTGCTGCGGGTGCAGCAGTGGGGGGGAGGGGATCTGCAGCACCAACCCCCCCCGTCCCCCCCCTTCTCCTTCATCCATGGGGGGTGATGGATAGTGGAGCAGCATTGGGGGGGAGGGGATTTGCAGCATCAGCCCCCCCCCCCGCCCCCCCCTTCTCCTCTCTCTCTCCCTGCCGCACCTTGTGTTGGGAAGGGGGGGGAGCTTGGAGGTTCAGGGGGAGGCAGGAGGGGATCTGCAGCACCAGCCCCCCCCAGCCCCCCACACTTCTCCTCCATCCCCCTGGGGGGAGGGGATCTGCAGCCCTGTGCGCCCTGCTGCCCTGTTCGCCCTGCGCGCCTTGCTGCCCTGCAGCCCCGTGCGCCCTGCTGCCCTGTGCGCCCCGCGTGCCCTGCAGCCCTGCGCGCCCTGCTGCCCTGTGCGCCCCGCACGCCCTGCAGCCCTGCTGCGCCCCGCGCGCCCTGCTGCCCTGCTGTCCTGCTGCCCTGAGCGCCCTGCTGCCCTGCAGCCCTGTGCGCCCTGCTGCCCTGTGCGCCCCGTGCGCCCTGCAGCCCTGCTGCGCCCCGCGCGCCCTGCTGCCCTACTGCCCTGTGCGCCCCACGCGCCCTGCAGCCCTGCGCGCCCCGCGCGCCCTGCTGTCCTGCTGCCCTGCGCGCCCTGCAGCCCTGCGCGCCCCACGCGACCTGCTGCCCTGCAGCCCTGTGCGCCCTGCTGCCCTGCTGCCCTGTGCGCCCCGCGCACCCTGCAGCCCTGCGCGCCCCGCGCGCCCTGCTGCCGCTACAGCCCCTGCTGCTGCCGCTACAGCCCCTGCTGCTGCCGCTACAGCCCTTGCTGCTACCGCTACAGCCCCTGCTGCTGCCGCTTCAGCCCTTGCTGCGGCCGCTACAGCCCTTGCTGTTGCCGCTACAGCCCTTGCTGCTGTTGCTACAGCCCTTGCTGCTGCCGCTACAGCCCTTGCTGTTGCCGCTACAGCCCTTGCTGCTGCCGCTACAGCCCTTGCTGCTGCCGCTACAGCCCCTGCTGCTGCCGCTACAGCCCTTGCTGCTGCCGCTACAGCCCTTGCTGCGGCCGCTACAGCCCTTGCTGTTGCCGCTACAGCCCTTGCTGCTGCCGCTACAGCCCTTGCTGTTGCCGCTACAGCCCTTGCTGCTGCCGCTACAGCCCTTGCTGTTGCTGCTACAGCCCTTGCTGCTGCCGCTACAGCCCTTGCTGCTGCCGCTACAGCCCCTGCTGCTGCCGCTACAGCCCTTGCTGCTGCCGCTACAGCCCTTGCTGCTGCCGCTACAGTCCTTGCTGCGGCCGCTCCAGCCCTTTCTGTTGTCCTGCGTGCCCCGCGCGCCCTGCAGCCCTGCACGCCACGCGCGCCCTGCTGTCTTGTGCGCCCCGTGCGCCCTGCTGCCCTCTGCACGCGCATCTGCAGTCCCATGCGCAGCCTCTACCCCCCCCCCCCCTCCCCCCTTTCTCCTCCCTCTCCCTGCTGCACGTGCAGCAGTTGGGGTGCGGGGGGGGGGAGGGGAGGGGAGGGTGTGAGGGGGAGGTTGCACCTACAGCGCCAACCTGCCTCCTCTCTCTCACAGCCGCACCTGCTGCTGTGGGGGGGAGTGTGAAATGGTGGGGAGGCTCAGGGGATGTGGGTGGTGGGTGACACAGCTGCAGCAACTCCCGCCACGCCTCCTCCTCTCTCTCCTCACTGCTGCTGCTACTGCTGTGCGGGGGGAGGTAAAAGGGGTGCTGTGAGTCCAGCTGCAACATCAGCCGCCTCCTCCTCATTTGCCCTCTCCTTCTTCCGCTGCGCAGGGTGTACCCCTTCAGGGGGTGTTTCTGCACATGGTTCTTCACTGCAGGCAGTTAGGGGGTGTGTCAGAATATAATTGTATACATTATACTATAACTGCCTGTAGTGTAGACTTAGTGTAGTGCTAAACTTGTTTGGTGGTGCACCTTGGTTGCTTTGCCTATATCCTTGTACCTTCTCTCTTAGTGAATCACCTCTTCCTTCTCGATTTTCCTCACCCAAACTCTCTCGACTCTCAACTCTAGCATGGCTCCTATGCCTCCTAAGGCTACACCTAGTTTCCTAGGTGCTTAGGATTCTAACAAGCAGCGCTCTGGCGCCGCCGGTTCAAATGTCTAGGGGGGGGGAGTAAGCGGCACGAGGAGGAAGATAACTGAGCTACAAGAGAATTGATGATCAGATAACGGAGTTCAATGGTACTATCGTTCGTGCAGCGAGTGTGATTCTGTGTTTGATAATGCAGCCAATCACAGAACCAGTTGTATCTCCAGAAGCACGATTTTTTTCGAACGTGACTCGCGTTAAAGGATGTACGGGACACAATATTGCTGCTTGGCTTGGAGCCTCCTAGCGCAAGCAAACACAGGTTAACCTTCCAACACCCTCAACTAGTTGTCAGCGGAAAACTGCATCTCACATTGGGCTTGGAGGAGGCAGAACAGGAGGGTTCCATGTGTTCGCGTGAGGGATTGCGAATTGGGCCACCTCGTCTCGTGTCTCTCGCCTGTGAATGGAATCCGTGGCGTTGACCCAAGGTGACCACACTCACAAGACTCGTTGACCCTCAGGCCTATTGGCAAAACGAGCCCTAGTGTGCTCCCCAAAACAAAATGTTTCCTGTCTACTCAAGCCCACGTCCACCATGCTTGTGAAGGATTCAATCAATAGTGTCAATGAAATATTGCAACGGGCTTTCAACGGGCAAACACCAGAGATTCACATAAGTCACGAGGTTCAGCATCCCGTCTCTAAGCGAGAATTATGCAAACTGGTTCATCCCCAGCTTTTATTTTCAACATTCGAGGGGTTGACGGTGAACAAAACCCACACAAGGTTGCATGTCTGGGTCGTCGTCTTCCCAACCCCGCGCCGTTGAATGCCTGGCGCGGCTCGCAATGGATGAACTCCAATGCCAATTGGATCTAGATTCTCGAACCAAACCAATGCCTGTAGGATTTCGGGCTTTGTAACAAGGAACCATATCACCCCGGATATAAGCGTAGGCCTATGATAGGCGCATGCGCTTGTATCTGGAGCAATGCGCTTATGGCCGATCCTCATTTATAAGCGCACCCTTCTACAGTTCTGATGTTTTTAACACTGTTTTAATGATTTACCAATTCACTACATGCCCTCACTGGGCTTTCGAACAAACTCCACTAATATTTCAGTAGAATTGCACATTTCTCTACAAGTTTTGCCATCTAGAGGCAGGATTTACTACCTAATCTAGCCTAAGGGAGGTCACTCCTCATCCGACTCAGGCTCCTGGCAGTTGTTGCCCCAGAAGCCGTCAGCCTGGATCTCATCATCTACATCAACTTCGTGCGTCAGCTGGCTTCTCCAGTGCGCCATCGCCAACTTGTCCTCGATGCCGTCCAGTGCGTTGCTAATGCTGCACGTCAGTAATGCCTTCTTGATAAGCTCTGCGGGCACGGCCCTCTAGGCCTTGGAAACCCACTTGAGAACGACCGCCGGAGGCGGTTTCTTGATGTTGCCTGCACGACGATTAAACAGAATAGGAGATGAGGTTAGAACCTTGCGATAGGGCAAACATTGGAAGTCATGGCTGGTGAAGACACTGTGATGCTCACCTGCCGCGGTGAATGCATTCATGCCCTCTTACTCGAACCAGTTCTGGTACTGCTGCCACACCGATGCCTTGAAGCTTTTGTTGATGGCCACATCGAGCAGCTGCACCTCTGCCGTGCATCCCGCCAGGATGACCGCGGGGACGATGTTGTACTCCGCGAACTTCTTCTTAACTTCCTTCGTCAGGTGACCTCGATAGGAGTCGAGGACGAGCAGAGCGCTTCACCCCTGCACGCCAAACTTCGGCTTGATGAAAGGCGCTACCGACTTGTCGAGCCACTCAATGACGTTCCCCGCTGCCATCCATCCGTTCTCTTGAACGCCGACCACGACATCTGCGAAAAAAGGAACGGTCGTTAGTGGGGTAGAGGCAAACACTAAACGCACACACAACACATCTACGTCCTTACCGTTCGGGAAGTCGCCCTTTGGCACTGTCTTGCGCTTGAAAAACACCTACGGCTTCAGCTTCTCCCCCGTTGCCGTGCACGCCAACATCACGGTGACGCGTTCTTTCTGGTACCCACCGCTGCGGATGGGCACCGACTTCACCCCCATCTGCTCCACTATGGTTGTCGCCGGCATCTCCAGCCACAGTGGTGTCTGGTCAGCGTTGATTATGTAGCGACTATCGATCTCATAGTCATGTCGTGCTTCCCGAACGAACGTCCAGAACTCCTTGCACTGTTTCGCGACGTCTGCGCAAGAGGATCAATGGCCAAGGCGGAAGGGCGGATTGGTTACTGCAGCTAACAGATAGGGGACGCAAACACAACATGAACACCGAACGAATTCCATGAATTTCAAAGACGGTGCATGGCACTTACGTTGCTGTGTTTTCTGTGCCACCTTGGTTTTCATGCACACGGTTAGATTCCAGCGCTTGCAGAAGCGTCCGGACCATCGCTGGCTGCCTTTCCACTTTACTTCCGAGAAGAGGACTTTCATCACCTCGTGTGACCAATCTTGGAGACGGCCCACCGAAACAGCAAGACCACGGGGCCGCCAGTTGAGGAGCTGCGCGTAGATCTTCATCTCCATCGGACAGTACCAAGAGGACCGTCCCCGTCCATGCAGTCGCTTCTGTGCGCTGTAGGCGTCCTTCAGCTCCTACGCCTGCTGCTTCCACTCGGTCAAGCACTTGCGGTGGATGCCAGACTCCCACGCCACCTCGCTAATCGATGCAGCAACCTCCAAGCGCACGAGCCGCTTTAGCTTCTCCTGGGCGGTGTATGAGGCACGCTTATGTTGTGTCGGTTTATGCCTGGGGAAGGGAGGGGGGGGGGGGGGGGGGTGTCAGAAGAATGAACGAGAATCAATGCATTGAGCAGAAGTTGGGTACAAGTACTAACTCTAATTGGGTTGCAGCCCTTATGGGCTACCCCACTATAGCCTACACAAAGCAGGCAATATAACATTCTGACACACCCCCATAGGCAAAGTGGGGGAGAACAAGTGGTCACAAGACCAGTCAAGAAAAGCAAAGCAAGCTCGGGGTGGATCACAAAGTCACCACACAGTCCGAGCACAAGCAAAGGGCCACAAGGCCAGCTCACATGCAGAGTTACATAAAGAGAACAAACAATACAGTGATCATAGCCTAGCAAGAGTAAACATGTCAAACTTATATCTGCTATAGTCTGTTTAGGCTGTAGTGGGGTAGTTCTTAGAGGGTACAACACTTTTGTGTTCTCTACTTGTACCCATCTCGTTTCTAGTTCAACCATTCCATTCTCGATTCTAACATGGTATAGAGCTGGTTCGTTTTTTTTTAAGGGCCCACCACTCGATTTTTTTTTTTTTCGTTACCTGCCCGAGGCGCGCGTCGCGTTTGACCGAGCCGCGCCCTAGTGCCTGTCCTTCGAGGCCCCTAGTGGCCTGTCGCTACCCCTTAGTGGCCCTTAGCGACCCCCCTTAAGGCCCGTCGCGGCCCCTCTTCAGGCCCGTCGCGGCCCCTCCTAAGGCCCGTCGCGGCCCCCTCTTAAGGCCCGTCGCGCCCCCCCCCTCGTAAGGCCCGTCGCGGCCCCTTCCTAAGGCCCGTCGCGGCCCCTTCCTCAGGCCCGTCGCGGCCCCTCTTAAGGCCCGTCGCGGCCCCTCTTAAGGCCCGTCGCGGCCCCTTCCTAAGGCCCGTCGCGGCCCCTCTTAAGGCCCGTCGCGGCCCCTCTTAAGGCCCGTCGCGGCCCCTCTTAAGGCCCGTCGCGGCCCCTCTTAAGGCCCGTCGCGGCCCCTCTTAAGGCCCGTCGCGGCCCCTCTAAAGGCCCGTCGCGGCCCCTCTTAAGGCCCATCGCGGCCCCTCTTAAGGCCCATCGCGGCCCCTGTTAAGGCCCGTCGCGGCCCCTCCTACGGCCCTTCGCGGCCCCTCTGACGGCCCGTCGCGGACTCGTCACGGCCCTTCGCGGCCCCCTCTGCCGGCCCATCGCGGACCCTGTTAAGGCCCGTCGCGGCCCCTCCTACGGCCCTTCGCGGCCCCTCTGACGGCCCTTCGCGGCTCCTCTGCCGGCCCGTCGCGGCCCCAACTGGCGCACCCCCCTTCTCGGCCCCAACTGGCGCGCCCCCGGCCGGCTCCTGCTACCGAGCCCCTGCCGGCCCCAACTCGCGCGGCCCCTCTTGGCGTGCCTCTGCCGGCCCTTGCCGGACCCTGCTGACGAGCGCCTGCCGACCCCTGCCGGCGCCTGCACCTGTCTCTGGTAAGCCGAGCCACGCCACCCGGCAGAGCCGAGCCGCCCAGCCGAGCCGCGCCACCTAGCCGAGCCGCGCCGCTGCTGCTACTGCTGCGCTGCTGCTACTGCTGCTATTACTGCTACTGCTGCTCCTCTTCC